AATAAGCTATCGCTGATTGAGTACAATTAACACATCACTGGCTAAACTAAGTGTTATAACAATTAATACATCACTGGCTAACCTTAGTGTTATAATTATTGTAACCATTAAAAAATCACTGATAAACCTTAGTATTATAACAATTAATACATCACTGGCTAAACTAAGTGTTATAACAATTAATACATCACTGGCTAACCTTAGTGTTATAATACCATTAATACATCACTGACTAACCTAAGTGTTATAACAATTAATACATCACTGGCTAACCCAAGTGTTATAACAATTAATACATCACTGACTAACCTAAGTGTTAAAACCATTAATGCATCACTGGCTAACCTAAGTGTTATAAAACCATTAATACATCACTGGCTAACCTTAGTGCTATAACACCATTAATACATCACTGGCCAACCTAAGTGTTAAAACCATTAATACATCACTGGCTAACCCAAGTGTTATACTACCATTAATACATCACTGGCTAACCTAAGTGTTATAACCATCGATACATCACTGGCTAACCCAAGTGTTATAACAATTAATACAGCAATGGCTAACCTAAGTGTTATAACCATTAATACATCACTGGCTAACCTAAGTGTTATAACCATTAATACATCACTGGCTAACCTAAGTGTTATAATACAATTGATACACCACTGGCTAACCTAAGTGTTATAACAATTAATACATCACTGGCTAACCTAAGTGTTAACACCATTAATACATCACTGGCTAACCTAAGTGTTATAATACAATTGATACACCACTGGCTAACCTAAGTGTTATAACAATTAATACATCACTGGCTAACCTAAGTGTTATAACCATTAATACATCACTGGCTAACCTAAGTGTTATAACCATTAATACATCACTTAAGTAACCTTGGCATTATAACACAATTACTATATGAACAGGTAACCTTGGCATTATAACACATTTATTCTATCAACAGGTAAACCAACACCTGGAGTTGAGGAACTGTGGAGTGAGTGGCCAATACAGCTGCCTCCTGTATTGTTACATACATACAGATTCTGGGGGGTTATATTACACTGTGCAAATGTGGTAACTGAAGAAATAACATCTCAGGTGAGGTGTCAAATGTCAAGGAACCAGTGTTTCCTCCTTTCCGTCTAGGTCCAGTGACCGTGTCTGTAATTAGAGTAAGTAATTCAAGCTTCAGTAAGCCAGGCAGCAGCGACACTGGTGAACACATTGTACACAGCTACAGGTGACAACAGTGTGTATTTACAGTAATGTGACATCCAGCATCACCTTCTGTCCCTGCCATTCCTTTATCCTCCCTAAGTGGCAACTCTATCTACACTTGTAACTCAAGTAGACTTATGTCAAAGAGCTTTCAATGTAATACTCCCGGTGCTTAGTGACTGGAACCAGGAACATTTTTAACCTTTTCTTTGTGAATTATTACCACGCCACCAAACCACATTCACTCACATCTCACCACCAGCACAGATTGGGGTATAACAAGCACAGAATGTAGGATCATAAAACTAACAGTATATTAGGAAATCCAAAAACGTCCTTGATACACTGACCCCAAAAAACACTGTATTAACACTGTTTGTAATAACATCATCTACATCCTGTGACACATGTATCACCTAGATCCTGTGACACATGCTTCACCTGCATCCTGTGACACATGCTTCACCTGCATCCTGTGACACATGCTTCACCTGGATCCTGTGACAAATGCTTCACCTGGATCCTGTGACACATGCTTCACCTGCATCCTGTGACACATGCTTCACCTGCATCCTGTGACACATGCTTCACCTGGATCATGTGACACATGCTTCACCTGGATCATGTGACACATGCTTCACCTGCATCCTGTGACACATGCTTCACCTGCATCCTGTGATACATGCTTCACCTGGATCATGTGACACATGATTTACCTGCATCCTGTGACACATGATTCACCTGCATCCTGTGACACATGCTTCACCTGGATCATGTAACACATGATTTACCTGGATCCTGTGACACATGCTTCACCTGGATCCTGTGACACATGCTTCACCTGGATCCTGTGACACATGCTTCACCTGGATCCTGTGACACATGCTTCACCTGTATCCTGTGACACATGCTTCACCTGGATCCTGTGACACATGCTTCACATGGATCATGCATGCTTCACCTGCATCCTGTGACACATGCTTCACCTGCATCCTGAGACACATGCTTCACCTGCATCCTGTGACACATGCTTCACCTGCATCCTGTGACACATGCTTCACATGGATCATGTGACACATGATTTACCTGCATCCTGTGACACATGCTTCACATGGATCATGTGACACATGATTTACCTGCATCCTGTGACACATGCTTCACATGGATCATGTGACACATGCTTCACCTGCATCCTGTGACACATGCTTCACCTGGATCCTGTGACACATGCTTCACCTGGATCCTGTGACACATGATTTACCTGCATCCTGTGATACATGCTTCACCTGCATCCTGTGACACATGCTTCACTTGGATCATGTGACACATGATTTACCTGCATCCTGTGATACATGCTTCACATGGATCATGTGACACATGCTTCACCTGGATCATGTGACACATGATTTACCTGCATCCTGTGACACATGCTTCACCTGCATCCTGTGACACATGCTTCACCTGGATCATGTGACACATGCTTCACCTGGATCCTGTGAGACATGATAGGCCAGTCCCACAGGTGAGTATTGGTACCTGTGCAGGCCTAAACCCACCAGCAGGTGTCTCTGTATAGGCCCGTCCCTCTCACATGACCAGCTTAGCTTGTGCCTTTTTCCATGTCAACATTTAATTTAATCCCAAAGTAAAATGATACAATGGTGACTGAGTTTGTCTATTCTGTTATTGAACCCCTCAGTTCAGGGCGTACTAGGAGCAGTTCCCTTCCACCTGAAAGGAGCACCAGTCAACCCTACTGCACATGCAACACAGAGACTTCAATACAACTCTCTGTCTCTATTGAGTAGAACAGCCTTGTGGATAGAGGGTGTTAACCCTATGTGCAGGGACATGCCCGGTAGGACTATACAACTCAACAGGTAAAAACATGCAGGTAAATTCATAAAGATGTCAATCACACATATAGGTGTATGAAAAACATAAGTGAAATGTCTTGACTGACCTACTTGTAGAGATATTACAATTATAGTGATACAATTATATATCACCAGAGCTACAGGAGCTCACCTTCATGATTAAATAATCCTTTATGGAATGGTGAAGATATATTAAAAATATATCTTATTAAAAAAAACACTATCTAATACCAGGGCATTGTTTGCTGCACCTGTACAGGGATGTTCAGCCGGAGCCTCTTGTCATGCTATATTTGGGAAGCTAAAACAGACAAGCTGAGTGGCTCAGCTGTGAAAATATTAATGATAATGTTTGTTTTTTGTCTCTTGCCATGTTCTCAAATGCAGTATAGCCCTAGTGTATTTTCTGTTTGCTTCAGTAAAGTTATGTATGACATAAACAAGAGACATCAACAGATGACATGTCCCCCAAGTCTGCTGCAATTTGGCTGTTTACATGTCACAGTCTTATTGCTGGAATAGAGTTTACATGTCACAGTCTTATTGCTGGAACAGAGTTTACATGTCACAGTCTTATTGCTGGAACAGAGTTTACATGTCACAGTCTTATTGCTGGAACAGAGTTTACATGTCACAGAGTTATTGCTGGAACAGAGTTTACATGTCACTCTTATTGCTGGAACAGAGTTTACATGTCACAGTCTTATTGCTGGAACAGAGTTTACATGTCACAGTCTTATTGCTGGAACAGAGTTTACATGTCACAGTCTTATTGCTGGAACAGAGTTTACATGTCACAGTCTTATTGCTGGAACAGTTTATTGCTGGAACAGAGTTTACATGTCACAGTCTTATTGCTGGAACAGAGTTTACATGTCACAGTCTTATTGCTGGAACAGAGTTTACATGTCACAGTCTTATTGCTGGAACAGAGTTTACATGTCACAGTCTTATTGCTGGAACAGAGTTTACATGTCACAGTCTTATTGCTGGAACAGAGTTTACATGTCACAGTCTTATTGCTGGAACAGAGTTTACATGTCACAGTCTTATTGCTGGAACAGAGTTTACATGTCACAGTCTTATTGCTGGAACAGAGTTTACATGTCACAGTCTTATTGCTGGAACAGAGTTTACATGTCACAGTCTTATTGCTGGAACAGAGTTTACATGTCTACATGTCACAGTCTTATTGCTGGAACAGAGTTTACATGTCACAGAATTGCTGGAACAGAGTTTACATGTCACAGTCTTATTGCTGGAACAGAGTTTACATGTCACAGTCTTATTGCTGGAACAGAGTTTACATGTCACAGTCTTAGTTTAGCTTACATGTCACAGAGTTATTGCTGGAACAGAGTTTACATGTCAGTCTATTGCTGGAACAGAGTTTATGTCACAGTCTTATTGCTGAACAGAGTTTACATGTCACAGTCTTATTGCTGGAACAGAGTTTACATGTCACAGTCTTATTGCTGGAACAGAGTTTACATGTCACAGTTTACATTATTGCTGGAACAGAGTTTACATGTCACAGTCTTATTGCTGGAACAGAGTTTACATGTCACAGTCTTATTGCTGGAACAGAGTTTACATGTCACAGTCTTATTGCTGGAACAGAGTTTACATGTCACGGTCTTATTGCTGGAACAGAGTTTACATGTCACGGTCTTATTGCTGGAACAGAGTTTACATGTCACAGTCTTATTGCTGGAACAGAGTTTACATGTCACACAGTTATTGCTGGAACAGAGTTTACATGTCACAGAGTTATTGCTGGAACAGAGTTTACCAACAAACAACAAACATCCTACATCTAGTATTTATTGCAGACAGGTTGAAATTGAAAACTTAGGGATCACCAGAAACTTCCCTTTTGAAATGGAAACTTTAACTTAAATAACCAACTTTGTTTGTGTGTCCTGCCACCTGGGCAACCATGTGTAACTGTGGAGGTTATCGAGCTGACACCGTCACAGTCCCATATCGCCATAGTCTGGTTGGTAAGGAGCTGGGGCACGACCTACAACACTATCAGTACTTCGTGGAAATAGTTGGAATAACTGACTAACCGTGTTTATATGGACTCCAATTGCCCTTTGCAACAATATTGGTCCTTTTGATGTTTCAGTGAACATTACTGAAACTATGAAATAGAACATTTAAAGTGATAAGCAGTCTTTATCACTGTCATCAGTGAACATGTCATAAATGTTCCAGTGTTGACGGGGCGGTGGGGTAGCCTAGTGGTTAAAGTGTTGGCTTGTCACGCTGAAGACCGGGTTAGATTCTCCACATGGGTACAATGTGTGAAGCCCATTTCTGGTGTCCCCGCCATGATATTGCTGGAATATTGCTAAAAGCAGCATAAAGCCAAACTCACTCACTCACTCCCTCTAGTGCTGACCATGTGACACAATGTGAAGGAAATTGATAACAACGAAATAAGATTTAATTCTGAAAAAACATTCTCAAAGCCAATCACTCCCACTTGTCCCAACTATCCTGCTGTAAGCACCAGATGTTTCCTCATTACACTTGAATCATACACTCTACAATAAGAAACAAGTAAAAGACACAATGGAAATTGTATTTCTTGTATTTGAGAATAAGCAAGAAAATCATCCAATCAATCTGTATCCTTTATCTGTATCCCTAAGCTGTATCCTTTATCTGTTCCCTAAGCCCTACAGCTAGTATCTACACCACACTAGTATCTACACCAAGCTAGTATCCACACCACCCTAGTATCTACACCAAGCTAGTATCTACACCAAGCTTGAGTATCTACACCAAGCTAGTATCTACACCAAGCTAGTATCTACACCAAGCTAGTATCTACACCAAGCTAGTATCTACACCAAGCGAGTATCTACACCAAGCCAGTATCTACACCAAGCTATCTACACCACGCTAGTATCTACACCAAGCTAGTATCTACACCAAGCTAGTATCTACACCAAGCTAGTATCTACACCAAGCTAGTATCTACACCAAGCCAGTATCTACACCAAGCCAGTATCTACACCAAGCCAGTATCTACACCAAGCTAGTATCTACACCAAGCTAGTATCTACACCAAGCTAGTATCTACACCAAGCTAGTATCTACACCAAGCCAGTATCTACACCAAGCCGGTATCTACACCAAGCAGCCGGTATCTACACCAAGCCGGTATCTACACCAAGCTAGTATCTACACCAAGCTAGTATCTACACCAAGCCTGGCTGACCTTCACAGTTATGGACTTATGGACAGAGTAATGGACATGCACATAATGAGTCCATTGGACCAAACAGACTTTTACTGACTTGCTCTAGTTACTCACTGGCTGTATAGTAACTGAAGTCAGATACAGTGCCTGAATTGCAACAAAGGACATATATTTCTGAATGAGTTTCAACAGCTGTTCAAAATCTGAATATGACTTTTTGCCGCCCAACTGTGTTAAAACTGACCTGTAATTACAACGCTGTAACCAACATCATGGCTATTGCCACTAACACTCCCAGCCAGGTCAAGATGTAGGACACTTGCACAATACTCATTCTGAAGTGAATCAGCAGGTCTGGCTGGGTTGGTGTTTATCTACCAGCGACAGGCTTAGGTGTTGTATAGGGCCTCACCACACTCACCCAGGTATCTAGACCAGGCCTCACTACAGCTACAACTCAATACCAGGTATCTAGACCAGGCCTCACTACAGATACAGCTCAATACCAGGTATCTAGACCAGGCCTTCACTACAGATACAACTCAATACCAGGTATCTAGACCAGGCCTTCACTACAGATACAACTCAATACCAGGTATCTAGACCAGGCCTTCACTATACAACTCAATACCAGGTATCTAGACCAGGCCTTCACTACAGATACAACTCAATACCAGGTATCTAGACCAGGCCTTAACAATAAAACAATACCAGGACTCTAGACCAGGCCTGACTACAGATACAACTCAATAAGGCTCAAAATTAAAAATATAAGGCATATATTATGCAAAACTAAACCTGGAAAAGTAAGTGTAGGGTTTACGTCCAGTTAAAACAAAACTTCAGTTTGAAGTTTATGACCTGAATCTATCCCAGTCCCAACACCCACTTGTGTTGGGTGAAACAAAACATGAATAGTCCACAGTTAGAATCCCCACATCAAGCACAGGTTACAATAAATACTGACACACCTATTAGAGACAGTACAGACCACGGCTAGTCCACAAACACCTCCAGATCTCCCTCTGGATCATCATCCTTCATCTGTCCCTCAAGACATACACACAAACACCTCAAGATCTCCCTCGGGATCATCATCCTTCATCTGTCCCTCAAGACATAAACACAAACACCTCAAGATCTCCCTCTGGATCATCATCTTTCATCTGTCCCTCAAGACATACACACAAACACCTCAAGATCTCCTCTGGATCATCATCCTTCATCTGTCCCTCAAGACATGTACACAAACACCTCAAGATCTCCCTCTGGATCATCATCCTTCATCCGTCCCTCAAGACATACACACAAACACCCTCAAGATCTCCTCTGGATCTGGATCATCATCATCAGTCCCTCAAGACATACACACAAACACCTCAAGATCTCCCTCTGGATCATCATCCTTCATCCGTCCCTCAAGACATACACACAAACACCTCAAGATCTCCCTCTGGATCATCATCCTTCATCTGTCCTCAAGACATACACACAAACACCTCAAGATCTCCCTCTGGATCATCATCCTTCATCAAGTCCATCAAGACACACAAAACACCTCAAGATCTCCCTCTGGATCATCATCCTTCATCTGTTCCTCAAGACATACACACAAACACCTCAAGATCTCCCTCTGGATCATCATCCTTCATCTGTCCCTCAAGACATACACACAAACACCTCAAGATCTCCCTCTGGATCATCATCTGTCCCTCAAGACATACACACAAACACCTCAAGATCTCCCTCTGGATCATCATCTGTCCCTCAAGACATACACACAAACACCTCAAGATCTCCCTCTGGATCATCATCCTTCATCTGTCCCTCAAGACATACACACAAACACCTCAAGATCTCCCTCTGGATCATCATCCTTCATCTGTCCCTCAAGACATACACACAAACACCTCAAGATCTCCCTCTGGATCATCATCCTTCATCTGTCCCTCAAGACATACACACAAACACCTGCATAGTTTCAGTATTAATGTAATTAGAAATCATTGAAAAATAAATTGGGAACATGACCATGTGTCACCAATATCATCAATATCAAATATATCAACATAATCTGAAAAAGGTTTTATAACAAAGTGTTGATATGATTGATATCAAACGCCCACTGATGAGATTCTAATTTTATCATCCAAAGTCACTGTTCCCACTTTGTTAGTGTTAGTGAGAGTTAGTGAAGTGAAGTGTTAGTGAGAGTTACTGAAGTGTAGTGTGACAGTTAGTGCCGTGTAGTGCTAGTCAGAGTTAGTGAAGTGTAGTGTTAGTGAGAGTTAGTGAAGTGTAGTGAAAGTGAGAGTTAGTGCCGTGTAGTGTTAGTGAGAGTTAGTGCTGTGTAGTGTTAGTTAGAGTTAGTGAAGTGTAGTGTTAGTGAGAGTTAGTGAAGTGTAGTGTAAGTGAGAGTTAGTAAAGTATAGTGTTAGTGAGAGTTAGTGAAATGTAGGGTAAGTGAGAGTTAGTGCATTGTAGTGTTAGTGAGAGTTAGTTGAGTGTAGTGTTAGTTAGAGTTAGTGCCGTGTAGTGTTAGCAAGAGTTAGTGAAGTGTAGTGTTAGTTACAGTTAGTGCCGTGTAGTGTTAGTTACAGTTAGTGCCGTGTAGTTAGTTACAGTTAGTGCCATGTAGTGTTAGTTACAGTTAGTGCCGTGTAGTGTTAGTTACAGTTAGTGCCGTGTAGTGTTAGTTACAGTTAGTGCCATGTAGTGTTAGTTACAGTTAGTGCCGTGTAGTGTTAGTTACAGTTAGTGCCAGTGTAGTGTTAGTTACAGTTAGTGCCGTGTAGTGTTAGTTACAGTTAGTGCCGTGTAGTGTGTTAGTTACAGTTAGTGCCGCGGTAGTGTTAGTTACAGTTAGTGCCGTGTAGTGTTAGTTACAGTTAGTGCCATGTAGTGTTAGTTACAGTTAGTGCCGTGTAGTGTTAGTTACAGTTAGTGCCGTGTAGTGTTAGTTACAGTTAGTGCCGTGTAGTGTTAGTGAGAGTTAGTGTCATGTGGTGTTAGAGTAAGTAAAGCGTTAGTTAGAATAAGTGAAGTGTTAGAGTTATTATAGTGTTAATTACACAATGCAGAGACCATTTCTCAGTTTAACACACTTACAAGTAAAACAGTGAGTGAGTATGGTTTTAGGCCACTTTTAGCAATGTTCCAGCAATATCACGGCAGGGGACACCAGAAATGGGCTTCACACATTGTACCCATGTGGGGAATTGAACCCGGGACTTTGGCATGACGAGCGAACGCTTTAACCACTAGGCTACCCCACCGCCCCAACAAGTAAAACAGCCTTCAACCTTGACTGAAAATGGGCTCAAGATCGTGATCGTCTCTTTAATGCCACACATGATCTAGGTTCTCATGAACCCAACTGATCCAGATCAAACATGAATATGCCTAAACTGAAGTACATGGACAGAAAATTGTTTGAACAGTTGATAAAAAACCTGGCAGGATAGTAAAGCCAGTTAGTCCTGGTCCAGGTTATCTGGGCAGGCACTTCAGTTCAAGGCTAAAATGTATTTATAGTATCTTCACTCACTTCAAGCTCAACTACAATTCCTACTTCATAGATTCAAGTGACAGAGTGAGCTGTGATGTATCCGACACTTTAACCAGGGTCGAGTCTGTGGTGACTACATCAAGCAGGGAAATGCATGTATCACTCCCAAAACATCTTGGGAGCCTCACTTACACTGACAAATCAACCAGTACCGAGAATTCCCATTATCAAGCCCTGGGCTTGAAAATCACTGTTCTAGTGTTGAAATATTTTAAACATATTTAAGCCCAGGGCTTAAATTCGAAAATGCACAAGATTTTGATGAAAAGGAAAAGAATCAGCATTTTTTAAAATTCTTTAATCAGGAAACTGGTCTATAAATTCAAAATTTAAAGTTATGAAAATGTTTACTCGAGTGAGTATATGTGAACGTAAATGATAAAGTTGACAGTCTTTAATGCAAAACACGAACTTGAAACTATTATGAGAGGACTGGCTGACATCTAAGACAATGACTAGTCTCTACAGAGACTATATCAAGCCACACACTGTTTTCGGAGTTCAAAGCTGTGAAAATGTTCCCTCGGGTGAGTATTTCAACTGTGAACGGAATGATGAAGTTATAACAGTCCATTTAATGCAAAACATGAACTTCAAACTAATAGTTTGAGTTGAGTTGATTTGGACTTCACGTAACATCTGCATTATTCCAGCCATATAGTGACGAGATCAAGTCTGAATTCATGAACATTTTAACTTCAAACTAACATGACAGGAATGACTGACTGATATCTATGGCAGTGACACTATTCAGAGTCAAAGTCTCCGCGTTTGGAAAGGGACGTCACTCTATACACCCAAGAATTAAATCCAAATTTGGGCTTAAATAAGGAAAAAAATCCCGCATTTCAGCCCATGGGCTAAATTTTGTGTGGGCCTAAATATGTGAATTCCCCCTACTATAACCTTGTAACTCCCTTCCATAAACACTGTGACACACACCTCTGTGTGGAGCCTTACTAACACTGACAAATCAACCAGTACTATAACCTTGTAACTCCCTTCCATAAACACTGTGACACAAACCTGTGTGTGGAGCCTTACTAACACTGACAAATCAACCAGTACTATATTACCTTGTAACTCCCTTCCATAAACACTGTGACACAAACCTCTGTGTGGAGCCTTACTAACACTGACAAATCAACCAGTACTATAACCTTGTAACTCCCTTCCATAAACACTGTGACACAAACCTCTGTGTGGAGCCTTACTAACACTGACAAATCAACCAGTACTATAACCTTGTAACTCCCTTCCATAAACACTGTGACACAAACCTGTGTGTGGAGCCTTACTAACACTGACAAATCAACCAGTACTATAACCTTGTAACTCCCTTCCATAAACACTGCGACACAAACCTCTGTGTGGAGCCTTACTAACACTGACAAATCAACCAGTACTATATTACCTTGTAACTCCCTTCCATAAACACTGTGACACAAACCTCTGTGTGGAGCCTTACTAACACTGACAAATCAACCAGTACTATAACCTTGTAACTCCCTTCCATAAACACTGTGACACAAACCTCTGTGTGGAGCCTTACTAACACTGACAAATCAACCAGTACTATAACCTTGTAACTCCCTTCCATAAACACTGTGACACACACCTCTTTGTGGAGCCTTACTAACACTGACAAATCAACCAGTACTATTACCTTGTAACTCCCTTCCATAAACACTGTGACACAAACCTGTGTGTGGAGCCTTACTAACACTGACAAATCAACCAGTACTATAACCTTGTAACTCCCTTCCATAAACACTGTGACACAAACCTCTGTGTGGAGCCTTACTAACACTGACAAATCAACCAGTACTATAACCTTGTAACTCCCTTCCATAAACACTGTGACACAAACCTGTGTGTGGAGCCTTACTAACACTGACAAATCAACCAGTCCTATAACCTTGTAACTCCCTTCCATAAACACTGTGACACAAACCTGTGTGTGGAGTCTTACAAACACTGACAAATCAACCAGTACTATAACCTTGTAACTCCCTTCCATAAACACTGTGACACACACCTCTGTGTGGAGCCTTACTAACACTGACAAATCAACCAGTACTTTTACCTTGTAACTCCCTTCCATAAACACTGTGACACACACCTCTGTGTGGAGCCTTACTAACACTGACAAATCAACCAGTACTATAACCTTGTAACTCCCTTCCATAAACACTGTGACACACACCTCTGTGTGGAGCCTCACATCAACAACTACCTATTATCGTGTAATTCCCCATCATAAACTCCATGACATCAGTTTCTAGGTACACAAGCCATTTTGCACAGTCATGTGGCTTTACTTGGTCACGAAAAAAACACAACCTAGTTTAGATATCTCCAGTGGTGAGCAAGCCCTGCCGAAAGCAAACAACCAGGGCTTTCTGACAGACTATTTGACTATACTAACGGCATGCTTTGTACAATGTATAGCCTGTGTGCTGTAACTTGACAACTTTTTATTCGTTCAGGTCTTACATCAACAACTAACTAGTACAAGGTCATCATGTGTTCAAACATTCACAGCAATTTCACAATATGATGAAGACTGACTCGATTTGTTTTGCAGGCTTTACATCTTTTATGTTTATTCTCTATCATATTTATACTTTAATTCTAAATGCCTATAAAAAAAGGCTTACACACTCCACCCAGCACCATCTCCCAGTATCTGCTCAGTGACTCTCGGAATCCACGACATTCACACACTATCATCAAACTGAAGTAGTGGTCACAGGGGTGTTGAACCAAACTCAGATTCTGTGGTAAATCTTGATGTAACATGAAAAAACACTGAAAGAGTGAACATACAAAGCTACACCCTCATAATCTACTTTGCACTTTGTAATATGTTAATCCCCAGCAAGCTTATTATATCACACACAGGGCCAAAAACACCTTAATTAGTTTATGTTATAATCACCTCCCAAAAACAGCCCCTGACTACCTCCAACCCTAACATACAGTATTTCCCTTAATCCAGAATACTTCTAATCCACAGCCCCTGACTACCTCCAACCCTAACATACAGTATTTCCCTTAATCCAGAATACTTCTAATCCACAGCCCCTGACTACCTCCAACCCTAACATACAGTATTTCCCTTAATCCAGAATACTTCTAATCCACAGCCCCTGACTACCTCCAACCCTAACATACAGTATTTCCCTTAATCCAGAATACTTCTAATCCACAGCCCCTGACTACCTCCAACCCTAACATACAGTATTTCCCTTAATCCAGAATACTTCTAATCCGCAGCCCCTGACTACCTCCAACCCTAACATACAGTATTTCCCTTAATCCAGAATACTTCTAATCCGCAGCCCACAACCTCCAACCTTAACATACAGTATTTCCCTTAATCCAGAATACTTCTAATCCACAGCCCCTGACTACCTCCAACCCTAACATACAGTATTTCCCTTAATCCAGAATACTTCTAATCCACAGCCCCTGACTACCTCCAACCCTAACATACAGTATTTTCCTTAATCCAAAATACTTCTCATCCACAGCCCACAACCTCAAACCCTAACATACAGTATTTCCCTTAATCCAGAATACTTCTAATCCGCAGCCCCTGACTACCTCCAACCCTAACATACAGTATTTCCCTTAATCCAGAATACTTCTAATCCACAGCCCCTGACTACCTCCAACCCTAACATACAGTATTTCCCTTAATCCAGAATACTTCTAATCCACAGCCCCTGACTACCTCCAACCCTAACATACAGTATTTCCCTTAATCCAGAATACTTCTAATCCACAGCCCCTGACTACCTCCAACCCTAACATACAGTATTTCCCTTAATCCAGAATACTTCTAATCCACAGCCCCTGACTACCTCCAAACCCTAACATACAGTATTTCCTTTAATCCAAAATACTTCTAATCCAAGAGCCCACAACCTCCAACCCTAACATACAGTATTTCCCTTAATCCAGAATACTTCTAATCCAAGCCCCTGACTACCTCCAACCCTAACATACAGTATTTCCTTAATCCAGAATACTTAATCCAAGAGCCCACAACCTCCAACCTTAACATACAGTATTTCCCTTAATCCAGAATACTTCTAATCCACAGCCCCTGACTACCTCCAACCCTAACATACAGTATTTCCCTTTAATCCAGAATACTTCTAATCCACAGCCCCTGACTACCTCCAACCCTAACATACAGTATTTCCTTTAATCCAAAATACTTCTAATCCAAGCAGCCCACAACCTCCAACCCTAACATACAGTATTTCCTTTTAATCCAGAATACTTCTAATCTGCAGCCCCTGACTACCTCCAACCCTAACATACAGTAGTTCCCTTTAATCCAGAATACTTCTAATCCACAGCCCCTGACTACCTCCAACCCTAACATACAGTATTTCCTTTAATCCAGAATACTTCTAATCCAAGAGCCACAACCTCCAACCCTAACATACAGTATTTCCTTTTAATCCAGAATACTTCTAATCCACAGCCCCTGACTACCTCCAACCCTAACATACAGTATTTCCTTAATCCAAAATACTT